TTCACGACATGTGTAACATGTCAGTAGCCTGTTATGTGCCCATGGCCCACGTGTCATTCCCATGTCAGTAGCATGAACTAGTTCAGACTGGTTCTGAGTGGTTCAAACTGGCTCATACTGGATCTAGCCAGTTTAAACAGCTTCTGGCCAGCTAAAACTGGTTCAGGCCAGTTTCAGACCGCTGCTTCCCAGCGGAACTGGCTGGTTTTAACTAGTTCAGACCAGTTCTGGCTGGTTCAACAGGTTCAGACCAGTTCAAACGTGTTCTGGCCGGTTTATACCAGTCCTGTCCATTTCAAGCTGGTTCAGACTGGTTCAGGCTGGTTGAAAGCAGTTCTGGCCAGCTTAAACTCGTTCGAGTCGGTAAGGTACTAGTGAGCTGATAAGGAGTACAATCATCACTGTGTGGTCGTGGAAGTGAAGTCATTCTTCCATGATGGGGGGTGAAGCATCTTGACATCCTAGTTGAAATGGGTGAACCACAATGATTTAAACCTGTAAGTTACTTTTGACAAAGTTACGTAATAGATTTACTAGTATTTATATAGAGTCGTAAAGGTTATGGGGTTGGCTTGAAACCAATTTTGGGGGGTCCGATTCCTTCCTTTCTTGACTGGGCTGGTTCTTCAAATGTGTGGTAGGGGGGTGGGCGTCTATGCAGTCACTCAGATTAGTAGTTGTAAGTTCAACCGACGTGACTTCACGTTTTGAGGCGAATGCCTCTCAGATTATGAAGATTATTAATATCACCGCAGTTAATGAAATAAAAGATTCTATAGAAGATACTGTGTTTCACTCTGTATATACATCCGGGTAGTCTGAGTATCGTCATGGTATACCTGATAGGCCTAAAAAATGTCAAGGGAAGGATGTCAGATTGGCCCCAACAAATATGATTGTGAAGTGGATTTTTGCTCATGTTTGGTCTAGGGTGTAACCCGTGAATAGAGGGTATCGGTGTACAAACCCTCCTATAATAGTGAATACTGCTCCTATTGATGGGACCTAATGGGAATGGGCCACCACATAGTATGTGTCATGAAGTACAATGTCTAGGGAGGAGTTAGCGAGAACAATTCCTGTGAGTCCCCCCACCGCGAATAGGAAAATAAAGCCGAGGGCTCACAGTGTTGCTGGTGATCATTTAATCGTACCTCCGTGCAAGGTTGCTGGTCAGCTAAAGACTCTAACACCGGTGGGAATGGCATAATTATTGTTGCAGAAGTAAAGTAGGCTCGTGTGTCTCCATCTGTCCCTACTGTGAATGTGCGATGGGCTCATACAATGAAGCCTAAGAACCCAATTGATATTATGGCATGCCCCATTCCCATGTAACCAGAAGGTTCTTTTTTACCTGAGTAGTAACGACGTGAGAGAGAATCCTAAAGCCAGGAAGAATCAGGATATATACTTCGGGGTGGCCAAAGAATGTTCCAACAGGTTCAAGCTAGTTCGGACCAGTTCTGGCACTCACTGGATCCTTCACACACTGCACACACTGGATCCCATGTTCACACTGCACACACTGCACTCGCCGGATGGAGTGTTCACACTGCATGTTCATGTTTTACTCGTGTCGAGGATAACATGTCAACGACATGGGCCGTTAGCATATCCATAGCATGTGGATCACGTGTCAGCATGCAAGCTACATGCCAATGACACCCGTGTATTTCACATGTCAGTGACATGTTGTTCCCATGTCAAGAATGACTATAGATCCCATGCTCTTAACTGTTACAAGTTGCAGCAGGCAGGAACTGTCAAATTTTTTAGATGTGACAAGAGTAGTTTGGTTTGAGACCAGCAGTTGGAGTAATGGCTATGTCGCTGGACTCCCATGTAGTTGACCACAGTTTGAGTCTCGGACCCAGTGGCTTAAACTCACGCTGAGCGCGTGTGCGTGCGTGCCCAAGATCCCGAGAGGAGAATGGAGGAGAAGGGATTGTGGCGTGGCCAACTCCCCAGGGAGTGATTTCTCACTCAATGTCTCTCTCTGTCTTTCTGGCGAGCACATGTGCCCTATAGCAAAAACCTCTCCAAAAAATTAAAAAAAAAATAGTTTGGTTTTGTCTCTCTGTGTGTGTATGAGTAAGTCCTTTCTTTCGCAGCTTGGACTGAAATGCATACTTACAGATGCAGTGACAAGTGTGAGATTGATCTGCGGCAAGAAGGGATAGGAAAGGGGAGATACAATGTGATTGATCATGCTGCAGTGGCCAATTTCAGCCCTGAGCACAAAGACGCTTTCAGTGGGCAGAGAAACCACGATCATGTCCTAGGGAATGAACGGACTTAGGGCGAGGAAGGAAAAAAGGAAGCCTATGGAACCCCCAGAGGAGACAATTCCCTAAGCCTCCAACTAATCTCCTTTTGTTTTAGGAAACAACAGGAACAATGCTCAGATATGAAGCTCTATTTCACTCTTGCCACGTGCAGATTTTTTTAAAAAGATGTCTTTTTCCAGGTAAGGTCGAAGAGTTCAGAGCAATGTATTTTAGGGACATCATCAGGCTTATCATCTCTGTAACTTGCAACTCTGACTTCCTTTGGAAGTTGCACAATGCTATTTTGAAATGGTTTCAAAAGCTACTTAGACCTGGGGCTGGTTCTTTGGCCTGTGTGCCAACTCTACTCCCGGCAGATGCGAGCCAAACACTAAAATGACCTCGACTAGACCCAAGTGGGAGGTGGTTGGCAGCTGTTTCTCAAATTTTATTTTCCAGGACCTGTGCAATGGAGCCAGATAGAAAACATTAACTAATTAATTAAAGTTTCAACACTGGTCTCCATCCAGCTGACTGTGACTTCAGGGATGCCCATATCAGGGGGTCTCGCCGTTCCAGTCCTCCTTCTCCTCCAATTAATCCAAGTGGCCATTTAACTTTGCTTTGGTTCCATGGAAAAGGCCAGAGGAAAAGTGATGTTATAAACTTGGATTCTCATCTACCAGAGAATGTGACATTTCACTTTCAATGGTTGAGTTACTCTCCACAAATGTTCTAGTATCAAGAATGGAACTAAAGAGGGCCAGGAGGTGGCATAGTAGTTAAGGCACTGGACTCCCACATGGCCAACTGCAGTTCGAGTCCCAGACCCAGAGGCCATGCTGGGAACGTGTGCATGCATGCCTAAAATCCCAGGAGAATGGAGAAGGGATTGTGGTGTGGCCATTCCCCTTGGGGGGGGGTGATTTCCCACCCTCTCTTTCTCTGTCTTTCCCATGAGTGCACACACTCTATAGCAAAAACCTCTCTGGAACAACAAAAAAAGAATGGAACTTGGGACCAGCAGTTAACATAATGGCTATGTCGTTGGACTCCCACATAGTCAACCGCAGTTCGAGTCCTGGATCCAGTGGCTTAAACTCATGCCAGGTGCGTGTGCGTGCGTGCCCAAGATCCTGACAGGAGAATGGAGAAGGAATTGCGGCGTGGCCATCCCCCTGGGGGGGGGATTTCCTGCTTTCTGTCTCTCTGTCTGGCAAGCGTACGTCCCCTATAGCAAAAACACCTCTCCAAAAAAAAGAAGAAGAAAAAAAAAAAGAATGGAGCCAATGAATGATACAGGGAAACATGCAAATAGCTTCCCAGAGTTATTTTGTTTTAAACATGAATGTTAAGAATCTAAACTTGAATGTCTTTTAAATTTTTTTATTTATTTATGGGGCAGAGAGACAGAGACAAGCATCCCCAACCGGGTCTCTACATGTGATCCACCCCCAATCTCAGCCCACCTGGATCAAGGGCACACACACATTTGTGCTGAGCATGTCCCAGGATGCAAACCCAGGACCTTCCCACATGGGTCCAGTTGTGTCACTACTTTGCCACCAGCTGAGCCTGAACTTGATAGTTTTGGAATAGACAAGCATAAAAGGGGGCATTGCAGAATCAGTCGTCCCAGGACTTCACTACGGCAATGCCGTGCACTGCGCTGAGATCAGTGTGCTGGTCCATTTCCCTCACTGCCATGTTTGAGACCAGGACTGCGTGTTTATTACCAGGATCCAGAAAAGTGCCTGGCTCCCAGCAGGATTCAAACTCAATCAGTGAACGTAGAAATGAAGACATAAGCGGCTCTGAGGAGGCAGCCTTTCAGGGTGTAGAAATGACAAATATTATTAGATGCTGCCCTTGCAAACACCTTCAAAGTAAGACGTGCATATTTATTCTGGCACTTAAACCGTTTATTTTTAAAATCACATGCGCTTCCCATGTCAATGAAATAACACTTTCCCTTAATAGCATCATGACTGAGGTCAATCGATGAGACAAATAGAGAGGTTACTCCTGTTGTTTCTGAATGGAAGGAGCAGCTGGTCTATCAGAGAACAGAGGAAGAAGCTTACGGTCAGCCTGCCTTGCTTCCTGCGACTCAGTCTAAGTCTCAGGGCTTGTTCCTTCTTGGCCTGGCGAGAAGATGGGTCGTGGTCACATCAGATGGTCTTCCCCAAGCAGGAAGAGCGACTGGGCTGCTGTGACAGCTGTCCATCTTGGTCATAGGTCGGTGGCCATCACCTTACTCTGTCCATAGCATCTCCCCAGCATCTGCATGCCATGCGGGTGGTTCCTGCTTGGCACCAACTTTAGCACACACCACCATGAGCAGCGAGGCAGAGCAGGGCATGAGTACAAGCTGCCCTCTTTGGTACTAAGTATCCTGTTCCCGTCCACGATGCCAGGTCATGCTAGCGGGACATGCTGCCAAAGAGAACTGCTCATTTACTGCAGCTGATTGCCGCCCTTCATGGATTCCCAAACAGAGACTTACAGCAGGAAATGACCTCCGTGACCATCTAGTAAAATCTTTTTTTTTTTTTTAAGAGGTTTTTGCTATAGGGCGCGTGCGCTCGCCAGACAGACAGACAGAGACAGAGAGACAGAAAGCGAGAAATCACCCCTCAGGGGGGATGGCCACACTGCAATCCCTTGTCCTCCATTCTCCTCTCGGGATCTTGGGCACGCACGCACACGTGCCTGGTGTGAGTTTAAGCCACGAGGTCTGGGATTTGAATTGCAGCCGACTAAATGGTGACATAGCCATTATGCCAACTGCTGATCCCAAAAGAAACTTATCTTTAAAAACATCTTGTCAGCTCAGCCATGTTGGGCTGACACTAATATTTGGCTGACTGAGGCCCATTGAAGGCCCAGTTGGATTCCTGGCCTACCCTAAAAAGCTGAGTGCGGAGGTGTGGACCCGTAGTCCCAGCTACTCGGGAGGCTGAGGCAGGAAGAGTGTGGAGAATGAGACCATGCAAAAACAACAAACGCAAATACCCAAACATGCATCTTTTTAAGACTCTTTTGTTCCACTTCACAGAGTCCTGTAACTCGTATTTTTCCCAAACATGCACACAAAAATCAATCTATTCTTTTATTTTAGTTTATATGGAATTGCCAGAAACATAAAATGTATTTATACCTATAAAATGGCTATCCTGAATAAGATAGAATTTAGTCACCGCACAGGTTTTCTGGAGATTTCAACTATCTATAAAAAGAATGATAGAGAAGACATTCATTTATCATTTATGCAAAGTAAGGCGTATGAATAACAATCTGTTTTTTAAATTTAGTGTTTTTAAATCATTTTTTTAAAATTCGGATAATGCTCAGGCTCCACCTTTTAATAAAAAGGTTTGTTAGGGCTGGCCACGTTTTCTTTATCCACCTGAAACATGAGAAATGCAGATATCTTTTTAAAAATATATAAATACTTATAACAATAATTTGAATCTTTTGGCCCTCAAAAATATTGTTGAACATGTCACATTCACTTCAGTCATAGGTAAATGTCATTTTACCCAAGGCTGGAATATTTCACTCTGCCTTTGGTTGCAAATTATACTTCTGTGGCTGGAAAAAATGCTCTTCGATAGCACTGACTAGTTCATCCAGTTCCTTCTTCAGCAGCTCAGGGTCACTGGAAAATAAGGGGCGAAATCCAGATCAAGAGATTACTCCAAAGCACATTTTAAATGTCCCCCCACCCCCTCTGACAAAGTGACATTGAAATTTAACCTTATGAGGAGGATTAAATCAGGAAAAAAAAAAAAAATAGAACTCCAGGGACTTAAGCATGGGAATGCATCTGTTGACTTAGACAAAAAATATCCCTGGAGACAATACGTACCATTTTCCCCAAAGGTCATGACTGGAAACAAAATGAGCTGTTCTTCCCATAAGATTTTTTTTTTTAAGAAACACAGTATTTGGCCTGGCAACTCTAAAAGATCTGTAATGTCTGTACCTAATAATGCAGGGGAAGCCTTCCTCATTCCAGTTGCTGTTAAATCCTGTTAAAATTTGACAAATGATGCTTCTATATATTCTCGGTCTCCCAGGAAATGAAAATTCCTGAAGAGACTTGCCTTCAAACTAAGGGAAGCTGACCCACAGCCTATCTGTAAGGTCTTCCTAGAATGGACTGATTTGGGGAGTTTCCTGAAGACTGCACACACCAGGATATTGGACTAGAGGGTTTCAACTTTATTATTATCATTTTAAATTTTTTGAGAGATTTTTGCTATAGGGTGCGTGCACTTGCCAAAAAGACAGAGAGAGAGAGAGACAGAGAGACAGAAAGCAGGAAATCACCCCCAGGGGGGATGGCTACTCCGCAATCCCTTCTCCTCCATTATCCTCTCGGGATCTTGGGCACACACGTACAAGCACCCGGTGTGAGTTTAAGCCACCGGGCCTGGGACTCGAACAGTGGTCGACTACATGGGAATCCAGCGACATAGCCATTACACCAGCTGCTGGTCCTGGTTTCATCTTTATTAATCTACCTCTGGGAAAAAAAGTATCACAACTAAAGTATAAGCAAAAACTAGGGAGATAAAGCCCTCTAAAAACCAGTCTTTTTCAAAGATATGAGAAAGGCCCATTTGCATGCAGATAATTGGAAGGTAAATACTAGACAACAGATATGCAGTTAAAAGGGTTTAAAACCAAACGGCTGAATTCAAAAGAATTAAACCCTCAAACTTCCCATTACTTCCTACTTGGCTATCTTTAATAGATGCAAAGTTTATCTTCATGGAAATAGCAATCTCTAATTTCAGCAGTACAACTGAAGCCACCACGTCATCACAGACATCATTTCTGGCTCTGCTACTTCCTAGCTACATGCCCTTGGGCCCGTGGCTTTGCCTCTCTAAGGCTCAGAGTCCTCATTTGTAAAATTGGGATAAAGGTTTTACCTTCTCAAGAGAGTTGTACAGATTGAGATAAATGACATACAGCACTTAGCCCAGAACCTGGCCCAACGACCTCAATAAATACAGTTATCATTATCATTGTTTTTATCCCTACTGGCAACATATGAAGTAATTATGCTTCCTAAATACATATGAATTATACTGATCTTCTTCTCCTTCTTCTAAGATTTGATCTAAAAATAAGTTATTTTTTAATCTCTTTCCTTTTTTTACTATTTTTATATGACATTTAATCTTTACGGTGTGTAAAATTTCTTTTTCCAGCATAATTACCAATTATATCAGTCAAGACAAAGACGTTACCATCCACATCATCATCAAATAGCTTTTCATTTTGATCAGATTATTATTATTCTATTTTTTAATTCTCATTTTTTGGGAACAGTCACTCACTATACTTCATTTGGCTTTGAAAATAACAGTTCTTTTTAAATTTAATTTGATTTATTCTTTCATTTATTTTAATTTGACCACAGAGAGACATAGAGAGACAGTGAGGGAAAGTGAGAAAGCAAGCGAAGAGGTCTGGGACTTGAACCGTGGTTGGCCATGTGGGAGTGTCCAGTGCCTCAACCACCATGCCACTTGCTGGTCCTGAAAATAACAGTGTTTAGTAAGCTAATAGTAATTTTTTAAAAGTACATAAAACTCAGTGCATTTACTAATGTATTTATTATTCAAATTTGGTTTCTAACCTGACGTGTATGTATATTATGATTAATTCACATATTGATACTATCTTTTTGACATTATATTTCTTATGTGTGAAAAAACAGTACTATGGTACATGATTTAGTGACGCAAGAGTCCTAAAACCAAATTTTTGTCTTACTTCTACACACCCCAATAACTAAAAGTTTTATTTCTTAAAGTTTGAGAATATTTAATAAAGTTACAGAATATATCCTATAATCATTTAAATTGGGGTTAGGAATTCATTTTTCTGAAAAGTCTAATTCTAGGAGAAAGTGAGGGACTGGGATGGGAGGGTTACTAGACGCTTACCCTTTGCCACCTGCTGCTCCTCCCCACACACACCATTTGGATTTAAATGTGCACATACATTAATTTTGCAATTGATATATACATATTTTTTGGCTATACGGCAGGGGTGCTCGCCAGAAAGACAGAGAGAGACAGAGAGACAGAAAGCGAGAAATCACCCCCAGCGGGGATGGCCACACCACAATCCCTTCTCCTCCATTCTCCTCTCAGGATCTTGGGCGTGCACGCACACGCGCCCGGCGTGAGTTTTAGCCACTGGGTTTGGGAGACTCGAACTGTGGCCGACTACATGGGAGTCCAGCGACATAGCCATTATGACGACTGCTGGTCCTGATACCCATTTGTTTTTAAAAGAATGAAGCACAGAAACATAAAAACACTACTGGAGAATGAGAATTAGGAAGAGATAGCTATGGAAAGCCTATTCAATGCAGTAGCAAATAGCATATTATTTAACACGTGGAATCATGGCTATTCACACAATACCACAACAAAATGCGAGCAACCCACAAGTCTTAGAAAATCAGCTCTTCTACATACGTTCACCGAACACTGGAGCTTTGCTTTTTAAGTACACGAAGGCTTTGCATGGGAATGACGTAGACTTTTTCATGGAATATCTGGATGTCTGAGAGCCCTAATCATGTCAAAGATTGCTGGAGTGGAACTGTCGATCAGAAGTAGATTCAGGGCCCAGTCACGTGTGGAATGCTAGTTCCCTCATCCTAACTGTGGCAGTGACCATTCTAAGCTTGTGCGTTGTCGTCTTACAGTTTACTTTTCTGTTTCCTTCTTTGTTCTCAGTAGTCACTTCTCCTTGACTAAGGCAAGGCTAACAGTCTAACAGTTCTCTCCCACCCTTTTAATTAACTACATGAAATCTATTAGTATCTTGGTCATTTAACAGGCTCAACAACTTCCCTTCTGCTTTTATTTCCACATAACATAATTTTTGAAAAAGAATTATTTATTTGATTTTATTACTATTTTTTCATTTGATGAGCGAGAAAAAGTGAAAAAGGAAGCCACCAGGTCCAGGACTTGAACTGTGGTCTACTATGTGGGAGTCTAGTGCCTTAACCATCGTGCCACCTGTTGGACACCAGATACTGCAAATTTGATTCCTAAGGGTGGAGAGACATTTCCGAGAGCGATGCTTTGGTTTGTACATGTTGTGACCATGTCCTAAACCGGTGTTGTCTACTATAGCTGCAACTAGCCTCGTGAGGCCACTGGTCCGCATGGTGGTCACACCCCCATTACCCTCTGAGGCTACTGCGACCAAGGCACTGATTTTTCTATTTAAGTTTAGTTCAATGCAATTCATATTTAAAAACTGGTAGTGGGCCAAGCTGCAGTGGCAGGGACTGCTAGGGTGCTGTCTTCCATAGGGTAGGACTACATGGGAGGCCTGGGTTCAACATACAGGCTGGAATGGTGGTGGGTGCCTGTAATTTCAGTGACTCATGAGGCTGATGCAGGAGAATTGGGAGCTCAAGGATGGCCTGGGTAGCAAGAGGCCCTACCTTTAAAAACAAAGGGGCCAGCAGGTAGCTTAGTGGTTAAGGCGCTGAACTCCCATGTGGCCAACCACAATTCAAGTCTCGGACCTGGTGGCTTGAAACTCATGCCAGACACTCATGAAATTCATGCTGTATGTGTGCGCTGAAAATCCCAAGAGGAGAGTGGAGGAGAAGGGATTGTGGCATGGCCATCACCCCTGGGGGGTGATTTCTTGCTTTCTGTCTCTGTCTTCCTGGGGAGCACATACACACACACACACACACACACACACATACACACACATACACGCCCTATAGCAAAAATATAAAAAATTAAAAAAACAAATGGACACTGGACTCACTTACTGGAAAACTTAACTATGGGTAGGACAACCAGGATCTCAAAAAAAAATCTCCTTTTCTACTATACATTTTATGAAATCTAAATGATCAAATATTTCTGATAAAAATAGGGCATTCAAATTAAGATCCACTGTAAGTTTAAAACACTGAATGGATTTTGAAGACTTAGCAAAAAAGAATGTAAAATATCTTATTAGTAATTTTTAAAACATGGATTACATGTTGTATCATTTATATATAGATATATATACATATACACACATATGTACATCTATGTATATATACATATATACACAGACACACACGTATAGACAGATAGATATAGAGATAAGTATTTTAAAGTTTACTGATAGAAAGTTTACTGAGAGAAAAAGAGAAGGAGGTATCCCCAACACTTCACACCTCAATCCACTCACTGTGTGAGCTGCCTGGGACCCCAGGCACAAGTACACCAGTGTGCTCAAGGAGGTCCTGGGAACTGAACCCGAGACCCTTCCCATGTGGGTCTAAATGCATTCCCACTGTGCTACTAGCTGGCCCCTATTTTTGATATAGTAAGTTAAAAGATATGATTGAAAATTTAATTTTACCTGTTTCTTTTCACTGCTTTAAAATGTGACAGGTAGAACATTTAACAGTGCCTATGTGACTTGCATTTTATTTCTGTTGGACAGAACAGACTTCAGGTCCCTTGAAATGTTTGTTCCCGGATTCTCCCCTGCGTCCTGACAAGGGATGTGGCAGCTAACTGAGCCTGAGGTCGGGGAGCAGCATCGCGTTCCGCGTGAGCAGTGCATGCACCGAGGCTGTTAAAGTCCAGAATGCTGGAGAGTGCCCAACTCAAACTGTCCGCCGAGGTCACAGAAACTCGACACTGTGCTCCCAGCCCAGCAGCTCCTCACAGCAAGACGCTTACCCTCCCCGGGACCCAGCACCGGCCTGTGTAGGACGGGTGCTCAGCGATACTCAATGCTCGGGGAATTGATTTTATTTTATCAGAGACAAGAGAAGACTAGGAGTGAAAACAAAAGCTCACTGGTGCTATCAATGAAGAGTACAGAGAAAAAGGAAGTTTTACTGCTATTACTGAAATTAGGGATAAAAATTTCCCATATACGATGTAGGAGAAAAGAGGTAAATAAGGAGTAAACACTCTATTTTTTTTTTAATTTAAACTTTTTTAAAATTTAACTTTATTATTATTATTATTTTTTTTTTGGAGAAGTTTTTGCCATAGGGCGTGTGTAACTCACCAGAAAGAGACAGAGAGACAGAAAGTAAGAAATCACCCCCCAGGGGGGATGGCCACACC